AGGATGAAGCCAAACTTTCCGCTTACAAAGGGAAAATCAGCTCTCCGGGTTTTTAAATCTCTTGGAATTCATGAGCTTGGGTCTGTGGGCGTGAATGCAGGTGTGTGTTTATGTGTGTGTGCCGTATAATCACTCTGAGCAGACCACACATCAGCTTTTATTTCCCCTGCATGGGTGTTCATAATGGATTCAGCTCAGATGCACCACATTTAAATCGATCTTTGAACATAAATATGTTAATAGAATCTTGTGCTTGGTAAGTTGTGACAAGAAATTAATTAACATGTTAGGGGTAAGTACACTAATTTGTGCCGCATTTTTATAAAAAATGGTGGAAGGCTTAAGCATGAGCCATACAATAACCCATTATATTTTGAAGGGTATATGAGTTAAGGTGCAGACACACAAATTATTTAGAACCTTCATTATCATTTCAAGTGATGGCAAAACAACTATCATCATGTTTAAATTCTCTGGGAAACAAACTACCACACGGGAGATGGGATCATCCGAGGAGCATGTGAATGCACCATTGGTAGAAGTCTCTGCTTTCCAAGAGCCATTCTATTTTTTTATGAATTCCAGATAGCCAAACAACCAAATATCTAGATTTTGGGGAGACTAATGCTCTGTGCATTGATCCAAACCTCTTGCACGACGGCAGGCGTCCAGCTTCCTCGTTGTAAGTGTTTCTTTGTTGATACAGCGTTGGGCTGACCGTGGCCCACTGTGACTCACCGCCATGCCAGCAGGCGTTATCGCCACTGCACTGACCTTGCCAACAGGAAATAAAACACAAACATCAAACATATATGAGGTTAAGTAGATATTGGGTGTGGTGTCCATAGAGCTGTGTTTCTGTTACTACTACATGTAACTGTATTCATTTGAGTTCACTCAACATGACTCATGAGAGCCTAAGAGGGATCGCATCCTGTGTGCATTTCAGATCCCAGCAAGATGTTGCACAATAAAGCCTTTGAGCAACATCGTTTGAGCAACTCTGCAAGACTCATGTCTCCGTATGATTTAACACCGTGAGGAGGCTTTACTGAATGCCTGAAGAGAGAATGGCATGAGGAGCAGCTTGAAAGCTATCTCGAGCTGCATGAGCCTGCCATTTAGCCACGGGTCGATAAAACAAAGAAAATGAGATGATTGATGGCAGATCGAACATGTTACATGCTTCGTGTTACTCAACAACAATTTGGGCCATGTGGAGAGAAACAGAGAAGTAGTGTCAGTGTCACCATCATGATACACACTAACCTCCACTCAGAGACACCATTCATTATGGCTTCCTTTGTAAGCAGCAGCAGCATGAGGCAAACGACCTCTCTTAATTACAGCACGACTGAAGTGAAACTATAAACTTCAAACTGTCTTTTTGGGCTTTTGAGTAAAGTTTTATGACTTTAACTTCTATACATGTTGCTCCTTCTACTGAAGTTTAAGACCTGAGTACCTTTTCCACCTCTGGAGCCAGGACAGTGTGAAGAGCCATGGCGCCTTTCCAAAATTCTGAATCATCAATCAGCATTTGTGAAACACTGTGATTTAACAAAGGTGTCCTTTTCCCTGCATATGCATGACTGAAGCGTCAAACAGATATCAAAATGATTCATAGAAACTGCAAGCTGAGACACAAAGGATGAAGCTATCTATCTTCCATCTTTTAAATTAGGTATCATGACTCGGCTTGTTATTAGCAAGAGGGCCATCGTTAAGCTGCTCTCTGCTGAACCTGCCTCGGAGAGTCTCTGGGCGACACATAAAGATGTCTGGTGCTTTTAAAGCATCAACGTGTGATTTTCAGAGATGTAAAGAAGGGGAGGGTTGCCTTTTTAGTTATGCTGCACAGAGAGCAGGGCTACAAATATATCTCCTACAATGTAATGAACTCTATTAGACATTTTCTACATGGTGTGTTTTGTGAAAGAGAAACCAAAAGTGCCAGGTGTCTGCAGCAGTCCTCTCGGAGGAGATGCAGAGTGTGCCTGCGGCGGGGGGGCGTCTCATCTGAGGAAATGTCCAGCCCGTCGCTCTGTGTAACCCATCAGGAGGGCAGCCGCTGAGAGCCCCTCTGCACCGAGGTGACTCACGCACATGCGTCTGCTCATGTGTGGTCATGCATGCACGGCTGCAGGAGCAACACTCAGAGAGTTCAGCAGCACCTCATCAAGTCCCAATGAGTCGACCTGACACTCTCGGCTGTACTGCATTGATTCTGCTCTTTGACTAATGCATTAACAGTATGGACCAGCATTTAGACGGCATTGATCCGAACCCATCTGGGGCCGGCTAATCGAGCCCGTCTGTGATCATCAGCCCGGCTACAGACAGGCTGCTGCAGGGCCACGCCCGCTCTCTGCCCCCCTGAGTATTAATGCATCCGTTTGATGGTGCAATGAACTGTCAACTGACTTTTACCAATCCACAGGATCTGATGAAATTATGCAACATTTAAACCTGCTGTTTCTGTGCTTCCTGCAGAGGCTCCTTGTTTGTTTTTCTCTCTTTAGCTTCAGAGCACTTTGTGTCTTTGTTTCAGAAAAGTGCTCTTAAAAGTTGAGTTCCTGCTTCCCTGCTAACTCCGGACGCAGAGCAGCACTTATCAGTAAACACATTGTTAGAAGACACGACTGCCTCAACCTTTTTGAGGCCTGTGGAGTTGCATAAAACTTAAAGCATACTTAATTGTTCTGGCACACAATAAAAAAAAGTCTGGAAAGCGTTGCCTTGTATGCATGCATATATCTAGGTATGCTTTTTTTTGTTATGAGCCTGATAAGAAAATCCCCCTATAGATCTCTCCTCTGCCTAGGTTAAGATTTAGTTTCATGCATCAGACGGTGTCCCCGGGTGCTTTGATAGCTGTATACACTCTGAAGTCACATCCTGTGAGCTAATGCACACACACGCTGCCCTCGACCCTTAAAACACTGCTGCTCATTCCTCATGTGTGTGTCATTGCCATGTGTCACTAAAGATGTGAGCTTTTGCACAGAGGGGGAACAAATGGTGCATATCTGCATATCTAATTTTAATCTGACAGCTGAGAGAGCCATCGCTCGACAATGACACCACAGATCATCTATAGAAAGCTGACAGGAAACCACAAGAATGACACAAAAATGTATTTCCTGTTAAGGCCTGTGTGGGATCACATTAAAGTAATAAAGCTAACGGTCAGGTGTTAGCGCGTGGCATGTCCCTGTTTGGTACCAATGCTATATGCGGCTCCTGGGTGGGTAGTTGCCATGGAAATGGACAGCAGTGTTTGTCTCCAGCGAGAGAAAGGTAATTGACTCGATCGGCAAAACTGCAGATAATATATAGCACAGATAACAGAGGGACACTTGGTGAATGAGCTGCTTATGTACTTCCTGTCCAACAATGAAGCTGCAAAAAGAGTCTGCACGCATGCTGGTGGTACTGTGTGGAGTGATGGCTTTAAGATAAGTGTTATGATGCCGATGCAGGCTTCGAATAGCAACATTTTATTACACAAGGCCCCTATTTCTGATGGGCTTTAACAAAGGAAGGAATTTCCTTGACCAACCGTGTCTCGGTTAAACCAATTATTTTAACCAAAACCAACCCTGCCTGAAACGCCTCCATTGGACTCCTTTGTCAGACATTTCTACGGCCAATATCCCCTACACTTGACCAGTCAAGCTAAAACAATGTAGATTGATAAAAAGCACTACAATATTTTTGGTGTGAGCTGTCCCTTTAACCCAAACTGCAACATCCTGCTTATGGAGCTTCAACAATGGCATCGGTAATTAATCAATCCCCTGGTTAATCAGTTAACCAGCTCCACAAACAGATGGGCGAATATGACTTCATACCAACATATGAACATAATGTGCTAATCTCCTAAATATCCCCCACCAGGAGGAACAGCCCCCTCGAGAATATCATGCATCCCAACGCCCATCCCCAGGAAGTGACTCAGCAGCAGCAGCTGTTGCTATGGGTAACCAGGCAGTGGACAGTGACTCCACCTTAAATCCTCCGTCACTTTCCCCTCTCCGCGGTGCAGCAGTGGAGCCATGCAGCATGCAGAGGGACGTGTTAATCCCATCTCCTCGGCCCACTGACCTCCACACGTTCCCCTCTTCCACGCAGATTAATGCCTTCATAAGAGCCACTGACTTAACACCAATCCACTTACACCAACACGGAGCGGACTGTCACCCCACCTGAAATCGATCTGTCCATCGGCATGCAAAGAAACAGCTGAGCAACCTCGAACACAAACAATGCAGTAATCTGACATGCTAACAAAAATGTCGACTCATGTCCCACGTCATACTCCTAGCAACTAGCTATAAATGCTACACCCATGCAGACTAATTCAAAGTGTGTAGGGAAGCGGAGAGGACGGGGGTTCCTCCTTTAAAGGTCACTAACTTTATTGAACACAAGCCAGTTCGCGTTAAATAAATGCATGCTGTTTACAGGAAATGTCAGCCATGTCATGCTAATTAAGGCTTATCGACGGTGGCTAATTTAGGAAGTAAGTCAATCTCTTGAGACAGTCCTCTGGGGTCAGGGCCTTATGTCCCATAATCCAACCACTGTATCATACCATATAACAGATGAATGAGCAAGGTTCTTTCTAACATAAGGTGCAATAAGTCATGTTTACTGCTTTGTTGGTCCAGGAAGAGTCTATTTCCTGGATTGCTTTAACCATTAAAGTGAGCAGGCTCTTTGAGAAAAGACCTTCGTGACAGGTGCTCGAACCAAACAGCTTTCATTTCCCCTCACTGATACAAAATTCATCTCCTGTGCTGGTAAATCCCTGCAGGGCTTGAGACATGTAAGCCTCATAATGCTGCACAGCCTCATCTCTTAAGTAATGCTGGAGGATTGTTTGGCAACTGGAGAGTGTGTAAACGAGCAGTCTGATCTACGATAATGCTAGCAAATGGCACCTCTAGAAATGTGAGCATTTTGATAAAGAGTGTGTAGAAAAAGTAGAACAAATATTTTAGTAACAAAATCTTTTTTATTACAACATTTCACGTTTTTGTGGCAGAGTAACATGACCGCTGGAAACTTTGGACAACGAATGTTGAAAGCAAACAAACTGAATCAATTGCTCTTTTCCTCATTTCAGACGAGACAGATTTGAAGCTATCCCGAATGTAACCCTAAATCAGGTCCATTTGAGAGCATCTCACAGATCTAGATGGAATCTGTTACATGTTTATCCTTGTGTACATACAAAAGAACAACAACAAAAACACAGAACATTTTGGGGGGGATTTATATTTTGGCCAGCGTACAAACAAAGTTGTGCATTTCCCGAAAATTAGAAGAAACAATTAAAAACTTAAAAAGCTTGACGCCACGGCTCGGGGCGCTAAAGCAGCCATACAGGAAGTAGGGTGTTGAGGGGGCGATGGAGCTTCCTGGGGCCCAGGCCGCGCCCCGTCCCCGAGGCCCCCGGCCGCTGCACCTCGGTGTTATCAGGTGTTAAAGAAAGGACGTGCATCCCCTCCTCTGCCCCACATCCTCCTCATCGTCAGGGGGAAATTAAGGTGGCGTACGAGCGTCGAGGGGACGGGGCCCGAACCCCCCACAGGCTGTGCAGCGTGGTTATCGTTTCATAATTTCGGTTACAAAGTTATACATCTAAAAAGAAGTGACTGAAAACAAGGCAATGCGGGAGGAGGAGGAGGAGGAGGAAGGGGTGTACAGTGCATGATGGGAAGGAGGGGCTTCACGACTTGTCTTTCTTCTCCTGTTCGATGACTGTGGAGGGGAGGAGGGAGAATGTGTTAGATTTGTCAAAAAGAAACATAAACAGACAGAAAAAAGTGATGTAATGCTCCCACTTACTGTCTTGTGTAGGCAGGACATTCTTCTCCTGCGTCTCGGTCTTTTTTAGCTTCGCTTTGTCGAATTTCTCCACTTCTGAAATGTCGGGTTTGTCAGCCATTGTTGCAGGTAGTCTGTGAAATCAGAACAAAGCACATGTTAATATCTACACATATGTATCTGCAATGTTATTTGGACATGTGCTTCTCCCTGACTTTCTGTTTAGGGCGTTGCCTAAATCTCAGTGGTCAAAAAAAAAAATCATTTGTTCAGTTTAAGTACATGCGCAACCCCGGACTACTTTTCCCTCTAATGTGCGTCCGCCTCCTTTTGTTTGCCTGCGGCTCTGCACAGCGTGATTTGCCTGCCATCCTCCCCGTTATCCAACACACACAGCCTGGGATGTTGCACACAGGGGAAGGGCTGATCCAGACAATGAAGCCAGTGGAAAAAAAGGGGCATTTACATAACAACAGGAGTCCACATGCTGCGCTGACCGAGAAAGAAATATGGTGGGAAAAGAAGCTCTTACGCGTAGAAAATCGCTAATAGGATGAAAATGATGTCATCCAAAAATATAAAGTTTGGTTTTATGAGTCTTCTCAGGGGATTTCAACATCCGCAAAATCACTTGTCACGTACTTTCTCCTCCTTGGGGTGCAATCTGCCCTGATCGCCTTCATGCAAGCCTCAAAATCCAAGTTCAACTCCACAATTTCTAAAATATTCCCAAATTACGTGCCGTGGCTAAATATACGCGCGTAACACATCCTTTTATAACGGACCCCGAGCATATAAGGCAACAAAGGAAATCCACTGTGGATGTGTAAGACAAAGACACAGCACACATGCGTGCCCTGCTGTCACATTACACTCTGTTATGAGCTGTTAAACACACAAAAACACGCTGGGTTATTATCCTATATTTCTTTATATAAGGCTCATCATCTTCCTCGCAGCTCTTCCTCACTCTCGCTGCAGGCAGTAACAGTTCAGACAATAGGAGGTATTTGTTGAATGGGTCTTACCGGAGGGTTTCTGGATGCTCTCTGGTCGGTGCGCTGCAGCAGTAGTGGCGCGTCTTTGCGCAAGCATCAAATATAGTCAGAAATATGCTAATGACATCTGACATCACCGCTGCCGGCCTCCGGGCCCCCTGCTGGAGAGACGGGGCCCTGCATGCTCATGTGTCTGATAAAACACTGAAACACCCTGAAGGAGCCACATATTGTGGTAAATAAATAGATTTGTTTTTTTGCGAATGCAACCACTCCATTTATCATATTACCACTGATTTATGTCCACATGGCACCCCTTTACTTTATTTAACTATCAACATAATGCGTTTCAGGTTAAATGTGCCATTTTTTCAGCTACATTTGGCGTGAAAATAACTTTAAAAGCACATTATTTCTATGTATTACTTGTATCTGTTGCAGCTGCTCTGACTGCAGATTAATGTAGAATGGGCGCCCTCTGGTGGCGGTTTAGTTTAATGCTTATTCCATGCATCTGTTCCTTAAATAAAAACATTTATACTTGTACGTCAGTTAACGCTTGATTCAATTTCAATCATTATTAGGGTAAGTATTAAGATTTAATAAGTTATAAACTATTTTGATAAGGTCAAATTCCTGCATTTACCTCTTTAACACTTTAGTTATATCATTTATCAGCGTTTTAATGCAGATAATTTAATATAATTTAACCTGTAATTGGATTTAAGTACAGTACTAAATGTACTTATTTCACTCACTGCAATCCATCAAAACAAACTATTTTAACATCTGCGTTTGGGATAACAGTATGTTGAAGCTCAACTAGCTATTTAAAAAGGAACTATTGTCCATCATATTTCTAGGAAAACTTACCAGTCGGATGTGAATGAGTTGCCTTACGGGTAGTGTAGTCTGCACACTCTTCGAGATGCCTACAGACTAATAGTCAGGATATATGAGCTTTCATTTAACAAATAAAGAAATTAGTCTTTATAGATGTAATGCTATCTTGCTGTAGTGTCCCTTTAAATATATTGAAAAAGCAGAGCAACACAAACATCTGTAGCCATTGTCAAAGCTTTATTGTCAAGAAACAGCTCAAAGTGTTACATTTATTAAAAAAAAGAAATATTATCAAGTTTTTTTCACCAAACCTTAATCCGCCTGCAGGCAAACAGTGAAACCTGCTTTAAGGAACATAAGTGACCCATTACAGCTGTGATGACATATCGCACCATTTTAATAATAAATCATGGCTGAAATCTTTAACAATCTAAGGACTCAATTTGTTTTCGTGACCTTTTTAAACATGGGTTTAACACCCAGCTACACCTTGTAGTACACTCGTAATTTTTTACCAAAGTTTATCAAAGGGAAAGAGGCGTCATAAAGAGAGCTTATTATGGGAGAAATTATACTGCAAAGGTAAGATTTGCATAAGCACATTCATGAAAGAAAAACTAAAGAAAGTGAGCAAATTAAGTTTTTATTTTATCTCCTGTCAGATCTCCATATGTGCAGCTTTTAAACCATGGTCCAATGATAGCAATAAGCATAAAGTATTACAGGTATTAAGCATTGTCTAGTAAAGGGTTAGGCTTTATCATTTAATACTTTTAGCAGCTGTTAAGCAAACACTTAGGGGGGGGGGAGGTGCATATTTATTTCACATTGTGAAGCAGAACGAGCCAGAATGCGTCCAAATCATCGTGGAATGCTTCGTTGAAGTGGGTTCAATATGAGGTACAGATTATACACAGGCAGCCTTTGGTTAAAGTGAAGGCCAGGCCTCGCTGATGGAGGGTAGCAGGAATAAAGAAAATAAGAAAAAATATGCTCATAAATACAAACTTGGTCTCCTGTGTGGGCGTGACCTTTAAACAAACAGTCACATGGGGTCGGCCAAAAATAACCATCAGCCTTTTTTTCGGAGGATATGTGGCAGAGAAGTGCCCGCTGAGAGGTGAGGGCGAGGGGGTTTCTATAATGGTACGTGGCTGAAGAGGTAGGACACGGACTCGCCGTTGTGGGTTCTCCTGATCGCCTCCGCCAGGATCATGGAGATGTCGATGACCTGGAGGAAACAAGGTGCACGAATGAGTCCTAAAACCAAGAAATGACTCAGCATTTTACCACTTCCTGTTTCCCTCGCCTGGAAGTCAATGGTTTTCTAATTCGATTTTAGTTGTTAGTCTGAAATAAAGCGTGGTGTTAACTCAATCTGAAGTGATCTGTTTTCCACGAGGCAAAAGACGTCATTAAACACCCCACTGCTGTATTAAAAAAATGGCGGTTGGTAAGAAGTGTCTAAATGACTCGAAGTCGTGTGACCATGATGTACATCCTTTATAGCATAACGTTAATATGTGGACATTATCCTGCTGAACAAAACGTGTGAGTATCATTAACGTGTGTGAGAGAGGAGTACCTGTATTTTGGGGCACGCCTTCATCTTCTCCTCCTGGGGGATGGTGTTGGTCACCACCACGGCCTCGAACGGGGCGCTGTTGATGCGAGAGATGGCGGGACCGGAGAAGATGCCGTGTGTGAGGATGGCGTAGACCTTCGTTGCCCCGGCATCGATCAGCCTGGCGGAGGAAATGTTTAGTAAATAATATAATTATTATACTCTAATTGTGTGTACAATATGCCACGAACAGATTCAAAGTCTTTAAATGTCACTGACTTGTCGGCGGCGTGGCAGATGGTGCCGCAGGTGTCGGCCATGTCGTCCACCAGGATGGCGACGCGGTCCTTGACGTCTCCCACCAGCACCATGCGGTCCACCTCGTTGGCCTTCTTCCTCTCTTTGTGGATCAGAGCGAAGTCCACGTTCAGACGGTCGGCGATGGACGTCACGCTGCGTGGAGACAAAGGGGGAAACAGACTTTAGAGACGGGCTACACTTTGAATTTCCCTTATGGAGGATAAGACAGCAGCCATCATTTGAAACATTATAAAAAATATAATCATTTCAATCGCTCATCATGCTCCTGAGCTCTCGCTCCATCTCACCGTTTCGCTCCTCCGGCGTCTGGAGACACGATGATGCCGTTTTTCCACTCGGGGATATTTTCTCTGATCCACTGCAGCACAGCGGGCTCCGCGTACAGATTGTCTACAGCGATGTCGAAGAAGCCCTTAAAAAAAAAAAAAAGACGCAAAGGTTACAAAACCAAATGGACTTAAGTTCAGAAATATGGAACATTATAAATGAGAATACAGAAAAATACATGACACAATTCCATTTAAAGCAGATTACATCATGTGTACAGTCCCTTTATTTCATTATCTATTAATCCTGATCCCTGTCTGTAATTCATATTAAAACAGAAAATGTGTGAGATAATTGTGCCTTCGCCTAAGAGTGAGTGAGTATTAGTACTATATAAGAATGAGTAGTAGCATACAAAATACATTTTAATACAGTCGCTAATATTAGAAAGCTAAATCGCTCCGTAACGCAAAACAATGCCTTATTCAGAAAGTGAGCCGGTAAAGAAACACACACACGTTAATTAACTAAAGTCTTTAATCTCTTATCTCCCCGTTTGGACCCAGTAATAGATGTCTCTGGACTGACCTGGATCTGAGAGGCGTGCAGGTCCATGGTGATGATGTGGTCGGCGCCGGCCACCGACAGCATGTTAGCCACCAGCTTGGCCGATATGGGAGCTCGACTCTGGGACAAGCATCAAGACACTTGAGGTGAGTAAGTGAGAAGAAGATGTCGGGAATTTTAAATATTGGAAGCTTTTCCCTTTTCCCTGAATGCAAATCCCCTGTGAAAATGTTTTTATGGAGGTTTCAAAATGTATTTTATCTCCTAAACACTAATTAGGATGATTTTGACTGATATTGCAACTGCGAAATATATATATTTTTAACATTCTTATATTATGCTAATCTTCAGGTTCATATTTTGTACCTCTACTTTGACATGTCTTCACGTTTTAATGTTCAAAAAGCTATTTATTTTTCTCATATTGCAGCACCTCTTTTCACCCTCTGTCTGAAACCAGAGCCCAGTCTGCTCCGATTGGTTAGCTGGCCTGCTCTGTTGAGATGTAGCTTATCACGCACAATGTGTTGGAGCTCCAGCCAACAGGAGTGCGAGTGTTACACAGTGACGTCACTATGTTGCGAAACACAGGGATTTTAGCCTTTGCAGATCATTGACATGAATGTAAACGTTAAAAGCAGAGTTCAGTGACAAGAAATAAAAGTACTTTAAAGAATATGATAATGAGAGGGGAAGGAAGTGTCACTGATGTGCAGGCCGACACGTAGCCTCGCTCTTGTTGCTTCATGTGGACCTTGCGGTTGTAGTTACATCAACAACTGGAGCAACAGCAGATAATGATTTACAGGATAAGCAGGTTTTCCTAAAGTTCTTTTTGCGCCTGCAGGAACATTCAATGTGTCAATGTCAGGTTTTCTAGGGGTAGAGATCGACTAACTGTATCGCTGCAGTGCCTGCGTGTACATGGAAGTATTCCCAACACGTAAAGTGACATGTCAACCTGCAGGTGCTAGAGGGGGAATTCCCACATCACATTTAAGGTGCAGTCAGTGACTTGTGTCGTAAAAAGAATTCTGCACATAAGAAAACATTGAGGTTGGATATAATAATATTTTATATTACATTTATTTTTATTTTGACACAGAAAGCTACACTTGTGCGCTCATATCAGGAGAAGAAGAAGGAGGGGAAGAAGAGGTAACTTTCTTACAAGGGGGATTTCAGGGAGTCGTAGGTGTTAAATGGTAATGCTTATAAATTCTAAAATAGTGGAAGGAAATCATGTTTTTTTTTACCCAATCAAAAGGTCAAAGTTTTAAAATGTTTGTGTTATCGATGATATTCAGATATTATAAGAGGCGTGGCGTGTGTGTACCTTGTCTTTCTTGTCCTGCCGGGCGTAGGGGAAGCAGGGGATGACGGCGGTGACGCGGGACGATGAGGCGATCTTGCAGGCGTTGATCATGATCAGCAGCTCCATGAGGTTGTCGTTGATCTCGCCGCAGCCGCTCTGCACGATGTACACGTCCTCTCCGCGCACGCTCTCCCCGATCTCCACACTGTCGCAGCGACACACAGAGGGAAACACGTCAAAAACAGAACATTTTCACTTATCCCTCACAGATTATAAGGTCATCCCGTTTTTAATGAAGCTCAAACGATGGATTTATGAGCGGTGAGTTATGTGTGACTGAGCTGCTTCGAGTGTTAGGACAAGTTAGGGCCGAGTCCCTCTCATCATGTGAGGAGAAAGAAGGAGCTGAAGCACACACACACTAGCTGCAGCAGACAGTGAGCAGAGAAAACATTGTGAAACATTCCTGTGTGAGGGCCCTCAGTCATGTGGACAGATGTAAAGGCTGCAGTCACAAGGCCTGTGGTTTTTCTTTTTAAGGGAGGCCAGCACTCAGCCTGTAAAGGTGTTGAGTCACTGAGAATAAAAGCTCACACCCAGTGTTTGAATGTGTATTTTAAAGGGTCTGAACAAACATTTGATTGCTGTAACCAAAAGCAAACTGAAGGCAATAATGTGGCTAATTAGGAGATCATTTGGACAAACCAATTGAAGATAACTTATCAATCATTTTTATTTAAATGATAAAAGGACACTTTTTGATATCCACAATCTCTGTAACAAGGTTTTCTGTGATTCTATTTTAGAGATATAAGAAAATGTAAACATTAAAAGTTCAATGTTGAGTCGTTCAGGATGGACAGCCAAAACCTTGAGGAAAACATTTCCTGCCACAGCGGCTACAATTAAACAGGTAGCACAACACAGGGACACAAAAAGTGCCAGCTTCCATACAAAGAGGCAGAAAACGTCCGCCACATCTGGGACGTATTACCAAAATTGTTCTTTTATTTAGTTATACTCTCCATCTTGAGTCTACTGTATTTATTATTTTAGTGTTTTTGTATCTTTAAATAACATTTTTGTCTTATACAATACATCTGGATGCCTGCCCTGGAGCCAAAGGGCAACAACATCATTGTTTGGACATTTCTCTCTGTGCAAACAAACAAAATATCTTCCCCAGAAATACGCTCCCTCTGCGTTGGTCCTTGACCTCTCACCTGGCAAAAACCTGTATCTGAGCTGTGAGAAGAGCGGGTATTAGCATACCGTTCTCACCTCCCTGTTAGTCTGTGAGGATGGGAACATAATCTTTGTTTTGGACGTTGTGTCGCCCAAACAGCTGTGTTCCCTAGAGAGAAACCTGAGCGTGGATAATCAGAGTTTTCCCTGGATTTTAGAGCTGTGGGTGGAAACATCACCAGCAGAGAGCCTCTTAGGAGGGATAAAGGGGTCGAGACACCTTTACAAGCCCTGTTTATCCAAAGAAACAATGTGGAAATTAAAGATAACAAAACAACAACTGCCGTTTGTTGGATGCTTTTATCCCGAGTGCATTACGATACTGTAAGTGCATCATTAAGCAGGAATTTAATCCAACTCTGCTCACTGAATATCACAAAACACTAATGCAGTGCATCATTCCCTAGTACTGAATCAATTACATTAAAGGGCACATATGAGAGGGTCACAAAGCTACAAATAGATTAAGATAAATGCTGGGTTTAAAGCTGCATTGCATAAACAGTGTTATGGTGTGTTCAGATTAACAAAGTGGAGCAGCATGATGCTAGTATGTCATCATGTAGAAGGGCTCAAACATGATAACATGACCTGAACTGACTGTTCAAGGCCAGGCAGCAGTAAAAGTAATAAAAGTAATTTGCTAACTAATATTAAACGAGGCTAGCTGCCAGCGTGCAGCCAGTAATTGATCCAATAGTTAGCTTGGCTGCGTTGGAAATGAACCCAAATTAAGTGCATGTGATTTCCATTACAGGACAGACAGTAATGAGAGCTTCATACATATATCTTTATTCTTACTTTGCTTAGTTTAGATACAATATTGTACATTGAAAACTCATGTCTAAACCATTGTCATGGTTGGAATTGTTTATGTAACCTGTCATTAGAGTATAAAAACAATTCGCCACGTATGTAGTTAGGCTGCTAGCATAAATACATGTTCAATAACAGAAAGCTAACTTCTTTGAGGCCGAAATTGGACAGCAGTAGTGCATACATAACACTGTTTAATAAGGTTAACCCTGTATCCATTTGTTATAACCTCAACAGGTCTGAAGGCTAACGTCTTGGCAAGCTAACAGTATCCATTTAGTGTGGAGAAGGCATTAAGGTGGCACGTCACATGTTGTACACCCGGATTAATCAGTTCCTACTTTAAAGCAGGTTTACAGCTCACATGTAACATAATACAGGGGAAATAAAACATTCAGCTGCCTTTTCCAGTTGTTTTCACATAGTTTAGACTGAAAAAAGGGCTTGAGGGGAAACTGCAGCACATGTACACATTTTGGCCCATAAGCACCCATCACACCGGACTCACACGTAACGTTAGCGTAGTTAGCATGATGCGCAATGAACGAAATGCACCGTTACGCAATTTCACTACTGTGGCGCTGGAAGTCTTATGACTTTTAACGCAAACAAAAGGCAGATATAGTTATTGAAATCTCTTTAAATATATATTATCATTACTGAAGATAGCAGAGCTGTCCGATAAAGGAAACAAGAGATTAGCTTGCTATTAGCCTGGTGTGTTTACATGTGGCTAGCCAGTCACGTGTGGATCCCGCTGAATAGTAAACTATTGTTAGCTTCAAGCTAACTTACCCACATGTGATAGGAGCAACATGGACAGCTTGTCCGCGATACCAAAACGCATCTTATGTTAACGTCAAAATTCAAGACATTTAAGCGTCGTTTTTAGGTTTAAAAACTACTCACCATGTCTCCTGATTGCTAAATTTTTTCGTGATCACTTTCCCCAGCTCCAGTCCCAGCCGATCAGCCACTTTCTGGGACAGGTCGTGGTGGGAGCTCCCGCTAAAAAGCACGATGTTAGGCATGTCCGAAATACTGCTGCAGTTTGCTTGAGAAAGGAAAGAAAGGAGGATTAAAAAGACGACAGGTCGCCCCTCTTAAGGGTAAAGAAAACAGCAAATTTGGCGTGCTAATGTTGCAGCTTTTGCATTGCTCTGGTGCGGCTCTGGGACAGTGGGCAGAGAGGAAATATCAGGTCAGCATTTGCATGGTGAAGGAAGTGCCTTCCCCTCATTGGACAGTGCAGCAGTCAATGACACACCTATTACTCCGCTGCATTGTTTACTTAACACACTGGCCTATTTCTGAGATAAACAAAGAATATTAACTATTTAAAGTTCTATGTGGAAAATGTGCTCAAGAGTAGGTGTATTATTATTATTATTATTATTAATTAAATACAGTTGTATCTGTTTTAATAGTATACGTTTAAGTTGATAAAGCTAAATCATGCTAAAGTTTGTGAATTAATTTCATTTTTTTTTTTTTTTTTTAATCAATGTCTTTTGATATTTTTTTCTATTTCTTATTTAATTAACAATTAAATCAAAACTTTTTAATTATATTCTAACTTTTTTTATTCATTAAAATAATTTAGTTTTAATGTATTATTTAATTGGAAAAGTTTTCCACTGCTTGCATGTGGTTTATATCTATTTTTTAGATATTAAACTAAATAAACCAAAAATAAAAGTAATTATCTTTTTCCGGCTTCATTAAGGTCACATATTTCCTATTCATCTATGAATTTAGAGTTATTATTTGAGGTTTTGACTGTTGGTAAAGAAAAAACTTTTTCAATTTGGGCTTTTAGAAATAATTGTAATTATTAAATCGAGACATTTTTGTCAGGATGAAGTCACCTGACGAATGCTGCTTGAACTCTTGTGATTTTGGATCTTGTAATTAGATTTTCCTCTGAGATAAAAGTCAGCTGAGTTGAGACTTGACGCTCCTCGTGTGTCTTCTTCTTTCAGTGGAGACACACTTTCCTCCGTCATTGCTGTCATGTGCTGGGCCGATCATTTACTTTTTTCACGTACTGTACAGCACATGACAGATATTATTGTAGGAGACAAGGATTGTTTCTCAGATGAGATATGGGTGAAGCAGCTCAGGAATTCAAATAGCAGCACTTTTTAGTGTTTACACTTCCGTTGTGCTAACATGGACTTTGAATAATCATTGAAGTGAAGGAGCTGAAAAATGGCGGTCTGATAATGGGATCAGCTAGACAAACAGTTAGGAAAAAGCAAAAACATTTGCATTTATGTAAAAAAAAGAAACACATGTTGTATTTTTTCAGAAATATATTTTATAGATGATGTCAGAGATGAAATGTCCAAAGCGTAGGTCCCAAAGAAAGATAACATTTTTCATCAATAGAGACAAACAACAAACAAAAAATAACGTTTTTTTATCCATTTACATGTAAACCAAGAGTTGCTCTGGAGCCACAGTGGTTAAATATATTGAACTGGCCGAGGTGTGTGACAATCAAACAGACGCCCTTTTTTCCAAACCCAATTCTTTAAAGGTGAGGAGGTTTGGCAGAGCTCTCTTTAACACAGTCCGTAAGTGCTGAGTCATGTTAAAATCACTTATTGGAAACCATATTCAATAAGGACAATATCAAATGTGTCTCATTTGGACAAAGTCTTGCCCACCAGAGAGGAAGAAGACCGTCCTGCCTGGTGCCGTCGGGAGGGTTTTATTTCTCAAAAAGTCCTCCAGTGTTTCTTCTTCTATTGTGCAAATACATTTCTGTTACATAGACAAGCAGGCATGCTGACTCACAAACCATGCAAAGAGTTAAAGTTGGCGCGAGCAGACAGCAAAAAAAACGAGTAAAAAGTTTCTACAAAATAAAAAAAAGCCAAATTAAACACAAGTGGAATGTTTTGTCAGATATGATTTTACAGGTTTTAAAATGATATCAACGTTAAATAGGGAAGGGGAACCGTGGTGCACTCTGGGGCGGCGACCTTTGGAGGATAGAGTCCTGTCCCTAAGCCTATCACGTTCAATGTGTTGAGTTAGCTTCTTAGCCAATAGGAGCGCGAGGGTTCCACTTAGCTGCATTCCCTGGTATCCTCCAAAGATGGACGACTTGCCATTTATGACCTCACAGTCCCATTCCCTATAAACAATCTGATATAAGAAATAAGATGACAGATCATTAAATTTGAAGCAGGAAAATGGAAGGAGACACCAGTGCAACACATGCTCAGGAAGAGATTTCGATCATCCAAAATGAGATAAAACTCCACTTTTTTTAAACATCTGTGCCCCCTAATTTCCTTTTCCCGCCGTTAAAAAAACAGCGAGCTACATAAAACGGCCTCTAAATGTGTGTGTGTTGTCACAGTTAAATGGTAAGTGCATAATCGCACATGCACAAGAGGAAAATGTATAATTTAGGCAACAAAGTGTTAAAATGTTTTTACTCTGAAAGTCGATGTCAGTGCCGCATAATGAGGGCGAACAGTGCAGTCGATGACAAGTTAAATATGGAGTCATATCACACACCACACTGTTTGCCGCTCACAATATCATAGCTGTCATTAGTTAGAGTACATTTATAAATTTTCCATATACAAATCTCCTATAAACAGTACATGTTATAAATACACAATTGATGAAAATGCAGAGAGAGCCGTAGTAAGAAAGAAATAAAGAAAGAAAGGAAGTTTAGCTCCTTATTTTTCGATAAATACAAGAAAGAAAGAAAGAATAGTACTACGTGTGTGAACGGCAGCCCTATGACTATCCAGAAAACGGATAAAAACACAAAATCTATGGATGAAAAAAAAGTTATAAAAATAATCTTATACGATAAAAAATAAAAAGTGGACACGCTTACCAAACATTGATATTTTGGAAAATCATACATGTAGATACAAACAGGCAGTACTCGATGACTGCCTCTCAAAATATATTCAATTTACATGATTCATGTTTCGCTCACTTTAGCAACACAGGTAGTCGCCACAAGAAATGTGATGTGTGATTAAATCAGTAAACTGTACCAGGAGCCTTTTCTCTCAAAGGGCCAGTACGAGAAATGTTTGAAGTGGAAGGACTACTGTAAATGCAAACTCATGCTTTGGCTTTTCTTGCTTGGCTTTCTCTTTTGGATAACATTCAGAAATCTTACGAAGAAATGTCCGGTCTGTCCGCTCAGATGCTTTCTGTGTGTACGAAGCAATGCCTTCAGTTAAAGGGAAGCTACATCAGAGGCTGAACCTTTTTTTTATTTTTCATTTCTAATTTTCGTGTGTGCACCGTTTTGTTTCTCTACTGAAGCTGGCAACTACCTTAACAAAGCGCTTTTTTTCCTTTTTTACAGAAAAATAGATCCATCCAAAAAGTAAAGTCTTCAAGAGAGGCTGTGAGAGACGTTTAAAGTCGTCACGTTCGTAGTAAACATGCTGAAAGATTGTTTTCGTCTTCCCTCGCACCGATTTCCTCGGCGAGATTTTTTTTTTTGTCACTTAAGGCAATCTTTTCCTGAACAATCCTGAAATCCCTCACCAAGGCACTCCTCTCACTCCACAGTCTCCTCATCAAATCTGCGTGAGGGCCACAGTGAACGCATCGTGTAAAATATGATGCCCCCTTTTTGTTTTGCAGGGGAAAATATTTTGAGAAAAAGAGAGAAAAGGACCTCCCGAGCTGCGTGGGACAGATGTCTGCTGTCCCTGGTGTCCGTGTGTCAGCTGTGTGAAGCACCGTGTTCCTGCAATCCTCTCTGACCGGACCCCCCCCCTCCCCCCCCTCGTTAGCTCACTCCGCTAACGTGGGGGTGTGAAGACTGACAGAAAAAAAATGAGTGTCTCTGCCACCCTGAGCAGCGCTGTTATGTTTAATATTTTTCTCCCAATTCAGTCCTCCGTCTCCTGATTGGCTCCCTACTCTGAGGCTGAGCCCGCCCCCTCTCCCCCCCCCGGTTAGGCCGAGGGGCCGCCAATCAAGGTGACCGACGTGGTGAGTGGGGTTAGGGGGGGCTAAATGAAGGGGTCCGTCGAGACTCTTCTCCGGAGAGGTCAATGGTAGCAGTGTGACTCCCTCATGGTTCCCCCGGTTACAGCGGCTCCTCCTCCTCCATCGGCTCCTCCTCCGGCCTGGGGGACAAACACACACAAACACACACAAACACACAATTATTAAACCTCCGCCTGCTATTAATACACTACAGTATTAAGTAGGTGACTATACTGATGCTTCTGTGCAGGGTGGAGCTGCTCTACCTCTGGTCCATGGCGGTGGTGTTGGCCACCGACAGCGAGGCCATGGCGCTGACGGCCTCCGCCTCCTCCGAGTCTCCGCGCTTCGCCTCCAGCAGGGAGAGTCCCAGCAGCGGGGAGAAGTGCTGCACCGAGCGCCAGTACTTACCTGATGGAGGTTAAGTGCATTATTAGAAACATACGGTATATATATATATATATACTGTATGTGTTATGGAGGGTTCACTCACTGTGAATCTCTATAACTCTCTCTAGAGAGCGAACAGCGTTGGGGTTGGGTCTCTGCTCCAGGACGGCCTTCGGCAGCGGGTCCAGCTGCACGGGACAGAAACACACAGATAAATATAAACACACTGCAAGAGGCTGCGTTCACATGACCGGATTCCTTAACCCCATATGATATATGTTTTAATTTGGTATAGTTTCATTTCAAATTCCTCATATGTGCTTCTACATATGTTGCTTTTTGTAATTCCATTGCTCAAAATGGCCGTTGTAGTCCACACACGTTTGCATTCAGTAAAGTTGAATTATGTAGATTGAGATATAAATACTAAAATATAGCAGTAGTAAAAAAAATTGAGGACTCTCTGTCTGCACTGTCCTACTTTGATCAAACACATTCATTAGGATTTGGATGAGCATGTTGTCAGGGCGACCTCCTCACCTCCTGGCTGAGCAGCGCAGCCACGCAGGCCTCCGAGGCGTCGCAGATGGCGGTCAGGTCGTGGCCCCCCTCCAGAGCCAGGACCACGCGGCCCCCAGCGAGGGTCATCAGCTGCCGGGTCAGGTAGCCAAAGCCTGGAGGAGGACAGGTTACAGGAAGTGTGAGCACGCATACAAATCTCCTCGGTAACTAAACTTTTCCAGCATCAAACTCTTTGTTTGTGTGGTTCACTGCTGCAGCGTGAAATAAGGACACAATTCACAGAAAGTGTGAATTTACCAAAAATACAACAGGAACATTTACTGGAAATTCACTGATATTTTTCCATAAATCTTGTGTAAAATTACATAGCATCCAACCGAAAAAGTTCCCGAGAAATTAAAACGAACATTTTACAGAAATGAACCCATAAAATGCCAAGGCAAGTCTATTATTGAAATATTTGATAAATATATATTTCAGATATCCTGAACTCACATTTAGACGTCAGTACGTAGCCTCCGAGAGGAGGAGGGTGTCCTTCCACCGCATCAAAGCCTGAAGACACCAGCACGATGTCCGGGGCAAACTCGTTGGCTATGGGCATCACCACGGACCTGACGGAGGAGGGAGAAGATGATTCAGAACAACAGACAAGATTTAAATGCAAAAGATTTGTCACTATTTTCCAATCACAGTTTTTCAAATGTTCTTGATTGAGAAGTACTTTCTCTACATTTTGTACTGTCTGATTTTGTTTCTGGTACCTGAAGGCAGCCAAATACTCCACGTCTCCCATGGGAGGTTCGATGCCTCCAGTGAATGCAACGTTGACGTTAAACCCAACGCCGGGTCCACTGCCCACCTGCAAGGAGACAAAGAGAAAAAACGAAATTAAAAACAAATATTTAATCTGTTAGTTTGCCTCAAGCTTTATACTAAAAGTGTTTTAATAAGACATATATGCACACTGAATCCTGGGCAAACCACTTCCCACAATGCATTGGGACTGTTACTGCACACTCACCTCGTCAGGTGCCCCACTTCCAGGGAAGAAGTTGCCGTCGTCATAGCGATGAATGGACAGGTAAAGCACGTTGGGGTCGTCGTAGAACGCTTGCTGGGTTCCGTTGCCGTGGTGAACGTCCTGCGGTTAGATAACACACACACAATATGGTCAATGTGATATTATAACACAAGGACAAATATTAAGGGAAAACAAATATTTACAATATGTTCAAGACCCTTTAATGGGACCCTCTTTGAGCAGATTTTCAATTGATGGAACACTTTACTGTGTTCAAAAATAGAACAGGAGACTGACCCAGTCCACGATGAGGATCTTGTTGACGTTGAGTCTCTGCTGCAGCAGTTTGGCTGCGATGGCCACAGAGTTGAAGTAGCAGAAACCCCTGAAACAAAGAAAATCGTCTATTTCGGTAGGAAATGAAGCAGTTTGGACTTTATGTGCAGATTAACTCAATGGTTTAAGTCATTTGTGCTCCAGACTAGCCTGTTCCTGCGCTTTATGTATGCATATGAAGTGTGTGTACTTACATGGGAGTGCTCTCCTCTGCGTGGTGTCCAGGAGGGCGGACCACAGCAAAACCGTTCTGCAGACACAGAGGAAGTTGTTAGTCACTGATCCCAACTCAGTGTTTCCTCTTTTAAAGTAATGGTGAACCACAACACCATCTATTAAACTCTGCTAGAATTATTTAATTATTATTTAAAAAATCAAACTTTCAAGCACTTTCAATCCTCATAATGTATTTGATATGATGAAGAAGTGACCAGAGGAGTGTGAGGGTGTTTACCTTCAGCTCTCCAGTGGCCACTTTGAACACCAGCTCCACCACAGAGCCCACAGCGAGCCGGGCGGCGCTCGACGAGTGGACCTCGTTCCAGATGGTGTCGCTGTCCACCTGCAAACACAAGCACTGAGTTATTCTCACACAAAAAATAAGAATACTAAAATCTACATGTTCTTATATTACTACATTGCATTTTAGAAAACCGTTTTATTTCCCCTATGAATGAAACTCACCCCGACCCCTCCACAAGGCAACCGTACGAACATGGGAGTGATTGAACCTGGTGAAATAAATGTGAAATTAGCGACAGGTAGCTATTAGCATCTTAGTAAATCCTGTGTGTGTGTGTGTGTGTGTGTGTGTGTGTGTGTGTGTGTGTGTGTGTGTGAGCTTACAATCTAGTTTCTGTCGGAGAGGGTTTGTTCCATACAGCAGGACGTGGGCTTCAGAGTGAACCGTCTGCAGCTCCTCCAGAGTGGCCTTCCTCCCACGGATACACTGACACACACACACACACACACACACACACACACACACACACACACACACACACACACACACACACACACACACACACACACACACACACATTATCATACAGGTTTACTACGTTATGGAATGTTCACTGTGGAGTGTTTTCCTCCGGTTACACACCTCACACTGCGATCTGAGTCCGGTCTCCTGCAGACGGGACCAGATGCTCTGGATGCGTCCGGCGTGCTCCGGATGACTGTTGGTGTTTCCACACATGCACTGGTGCTTCTGCATCAGAGAGTCGTACACTAGGCCTGGAAACACACACACACACACACACAGTGATACAGTTATTTACAATATAACATATATTACAGAGCTGAGTGTCACAGAAGCAGAACATTCTTCCCGTTTGATTTCAGCTCTCACATTGTTTCTGATGCATTAATATGTTACTGAGACGCTCCTACATTATATATGCAGTTTGGAACAGAGTGGGAGTAAAGTAGGCCAGACTGTTTTTAAAATATCTTGGACTCTGTTGTAGGAACACACTCTATAGCCCTGAATGACACTCAGTCAGGAACAAATGCTCTTTTTTAAATCTTTTGTGTCATTTCTCGGATGGACAGGTTTCATTTCAGTCCCCTCTGCTTCAGAAGGAAGTGAATCTTAGGTGACAGGATAAAAAATAAACACCCAAAAAGTGCTTTTGTTCCGTATTCGAAAATGCTGCTGATGCGTACCTGTGGTGTAGCGTGGTTTGACGGGGGGCTCCGATGCCGCGACGCTGATGGGGAAAGAGGAGGCGGAGGCCGGGGAAGACTGAGCCCTGGAGAGGGGGCGGTGTCCTGGGAAGGAGATGGAGAGGCCGGCAGCCTCCATGGAGGCCTGGTAGTTCCTCAGCTGGTGGATCCGCTGCTGCTCCAATAACAGGGCCTGCTGCTCACAGACACACACATACACACACACAGGGACACATAAATAAAGGCGAGGAATGCTGCAGCTGTAGTTTAGTAAAAAGCTTGAATGCCTGTGTCCACAGAGCGCCCTTTTTCTGACAGCTTTTTTTTGTTTCTATGACAAACGATGATGTACGACAGACTAGCTTAATCCTCTTGGTTTTTATCATCTGTTTGTGCAATCTTACATTGGTTTGACAGTGTTTTCTCACTATCAGCAGCCACAGAAAGATGTGAATGGGCTTCACAGCTCAGTCTGACAGCAGTATAGTGAGGGAGGACCATGATAAATGTCACAAACTCAATATACAGTACTGCATATTGCAAGTGCAAGTTATGGCCAAAAGATGGCAGCCAACACACAGCTTTGTTTCCCTCAGCGTCCCAGACATCAGCACAAAGAGCCCTAAAAACATGAATGTGTGTTTCTCTCCACCTCTCCTGTATCCTCACCTGTCCGAAGAGCAGCTCCTGCTCCGCCTGCCGGTGCTGCAGCAGCGCCTCCTCCTGCAGCTCCTGGGGGTCGGGCGGCTCCTGCTTCACGGTGACGCCCGGCAGCAGCGCTCCTCCGTCCTGGTGCTCCCTCAGCTCCTCCTCCGTCTCCTCCGGGTGGCTCTGGTGCTGCCGGCCCACGGGCGACTCGCTGGGCTTCGTCATCATCTGAAAACACAAGGGAAACCGCAGGATGTGACAAATCCTCTCCGACGTGTGAGGCTGCGTTCTCTCACACACACACACACACACACACACACACACACACACACACACACACACACACACACAAATTCCTGGCAGATCACTCCTTTCTTCCTTTAACAAGCTTATTTTGGATTACTCCGTCAGATGATTGTGTCTCGCTCGTTTCAAGCCGCTCCGCTCTAATTGGATGTGAGTGGCCGCTCTGCCGCCTGTACTGCGGGGCAAAAAACGTGTCTGGTGGAAACAGAGGCATTCCTCGCTCCCTGCTGGGCTGCTGTCATTTACTTTGTCTTTCATCGACTCGTTCTGGGGCCTGCTGTTCTCAGAGTGGGGATTCAGATTCCCATTCATTCATTTTCACAGGCGGCCGGGCACACAGTGTGTGAGTGTTAATGATGTGAGAGGGGGCAGCCAGAAAACGGTTTCTAGCTACAGGTGTGTGTGTGAGAGAGAGAGAGAGAGAGAGAAAGAGAGAATGTGTGTGTGTGTGTGTGTGTGTGTGTGTGTGTGTGTGTGTGTGTGTGTGTCCGACCCCGCTGCCCTCCTCTGCTATATTCCCTTACTAACAGCATTACTCACATCGGACAATTAAGAATACACTATTTTGCAGAGTTGAATTCACTTCATTTTTCATTGATATTTTCTTATTTTGTTCTGAACTCATCCCTCCTTGAGGCTTTTATCGAGATGTTTGTTTAAAAGGCTGACATTGAAAGCCTCATATGGAGGGAGTCAGCCTAGATCAGGGGAGGAGGAGGAGGAGGAAGAAGAGGAGGAGGAGGAGGAGGAGGAGGAGGAGAGGTAATCCCTTGTTTCATCCACCCACCTCTCCTCCAGCGAGTACTCTGCTCACTTCCTCCCTGACCATATAAAGAATAGGCTTCCGCTCTGTTGCCATGGCAGCACAAAGTTACCTCGCAGTCCGTGGCAACTGTCTCGGCCACAGTCACAAACAACCTCACACACACTAACACACACACACACACTAACACACACACACACACACACTGCTTTACATACCTGCTATAATTCGCCTACTCGCTAACAAATTTACAACAAAGAGACGAAGAAGTAAAAGATAAAGAATAAACTGAAGGACTTCACAGACTTCCTGAAATAACACTGTTACAGCTTCTCACACACACACACACACACACACACACACACACACACACACACACACACACACACACACACACACACACACACACACACACACACACACACACACACACACACTACAGCTGCTGCTCTTATAGCCCCAATTAATTATCCGCCTATTTAAATATAATGTCAGATCTCCCATCAGCCTTCTTCCTACTCTACAAGAAAAGGAACCATTTGCATTCAAACTGAATAAAAAGTAAAGATAATACTGCAGATGCCACAAGAAAATGTACACTGGAGGATTGATGGACTCGTTTTTATTTTTAGCCTGGCAGTTTTAGGCACAGAAAGGTTTTCCTGTTTTCAATTTGACATCTTCAATTGTCAGTTTCTGTTAATAGGTGTCTCAGTGTCGTGGTTTTAATGCAGCAGCGTTGAATCATGGGAGTTTGACATTGCAGCCGAATTACCCGCAGAGGTCTCCTGCTCTACAAAACAAAATGGTCCCGGTGATAAAAAGCACTTAATAAAAAAATCTGTGTTTCCCAGATGGAGATCAACAGAGAACGGATGCCCCGAAGCCACTGTGAGCAAATTTGCCACACATGTTTACTCAGCTTGCGTCTGTGATAACTGAAGATCCATACGTCAATGAGGTTTGAACCAGAAGTCCCCTCCTCTCCAAAACAAACATACACAGTGAGTAAAACCGGTGAAAACAGAAAAAAAAATCAGTTTCCTAAAAAGAATGACTGTTTTTCAAAATCCAATATGGCGGCCTCTGATGATTGCTTTCAGTTTCAGAAAAATACGGCTTAAGAACTGGCTAAAAAGTCAATTTATGACAATTCCTGGATGATATATCACAGGCAATCAAATAAAAAAGACTTCGATTAAAATGACAGATTTCTCTAGATTTGAAAATCAGTGGAAAGATTTGGAATTATGCAACAGAATAAATCCAATTGGTCTATTCCCTTTAGATATTTGAATGCAGAAATGATACGCATCAATGTGGCGCCGGGGAGAAAGGCAGTACCTTGTTGAGGTGGAGCTGCTGCTGCTGGAACTGCTGCTTGTGCTTCTCCAGGAACTGCTGGTGCTGCTGCTGGACGACCAGCTGCTGCAGGGCGAGGGCCTGAGCGTGGGCCTGAGCGGCGCTCCCCTGAGGGAGGGGGGCCGACTGGGTTCTCCCCAGGGGCCGGTGCTGCCGCTGAAGCTTGGCCATGGACGCTGCCGGCGACATGGAGAGGCCGCTCACACCTTTGGACACAAAACAAGACGGAGTTTAGTTACAATAGGAGGGGAAACACAAGACGGATGAGTTGATGAGTTGTTTCGGAGACAGGAGGATAGAGCATGCTTTGTGCGTCATGTTTTGCGTTCGATTGGGACACAAAGGAAGCTTTCATTTCCTGCTCTATGTCCCTACTAGATACTAATGTCACTGTTTCAACATGATTCATCCTTCCAAGTACATTTCCAGTGCTTTATTTGAGGGTCAAACTGGAATACAATCATTATTTAATACACATAGACTTGTCTACAAAGAAGTTATGCTCACATCTCATACCAGTGTCTAATAACTGAGCTCCATTTGAATCTTAAGACGTCGTTTTAGTTTAGATAAGGTAGACCTGGTTGTTTAGGAAAGCTATGAAGTATTTAGACTAGGTGTCACAATGATACATGTGTCTGTGTCTGCCAGGGCTATTTTTGTCACTACTTTGGAGAAATGAGACAAGTGTAGACACAATTTTCCAGATTAAAAGCAAAGGTAGAAGGCACTGCCCTAAAATGAAAGATACATATATGATATATGGTGAAGGAAGTGGATGGAGCCTGGGAAAATATTTGAGAACAAACAAAATAGTTTTCAGATTGTTTCAGACAAAATTGATGTAACAGCTATAAATGATAAAATAAACTATATTTGTCCCAAGAAAAGGACTTGATTAAAAAAAAGGAAGCCATTATGACGATTGGATCTTGAATATGGTAAGGATTTGTTTAAATACATGACTTTAACAACAGAATTGATGCATCTGGGCTGTTGAAGCCCCCCTCTGCGTGGGCGCTTGAATTTTTGTTTTGTTTTTCTTTTGCGTGGTTACACTCATAGTTGCGTCTGCACTGTGCGTCATCATGGCCATTCGGTGCTGGCGCGGCCCTGCTGAAAATAGCAGCAGTCAATGAATGAGTTGATGGGAAAGGGCTCACAATGCGGCCGTGTCACACTCTCATGGCATACGCTGACATATGAAAGGAGCTCATTAGTCTGAGCTAGTGAATGGAGGTCTGTCAATGTGAGGGGGCACACGTGCACAGCGGACACACATCACAAATAATACTTTTATACAGAGACGTGTTTTAACCAGATATAGATAGATAGATATTGGAGCTAACATGGCTCACTTTATGACCGTCGATCACTAGCTTTTATAGATCGGCATCGGCCCGTGTTCGTCTGATTTACTGCCATCGGCACATCAGAAAAAAGGTGACACACGTGTTGGAAGATCCTTTAGTTTTACTACTTAAAATATAGCATCAAAGTGTACTCAATCTGCACAAAGGCCCATTTCAGAATAACATAAAATACAGAGGTATCATCAGCTTAATGAGCTTAATGTATCAAAAGTAAGAAATACCAAGAAAACATTGATATTGGCTGAGAAATGTGACCTCCCTAAATGTTAGTACCTGTCACCAGGGGGCTCTGTGCGGGGCTCTGCTCCATCAGCACCATGTGTTGCAGCAGAGGACTGTGCGCTCCGTGCCCGCCTGACCCCGCCCCGCCCTCGGACAGGTAGGGCGTCAGGTGACCGCCGGAGAGGAAGGGGGGGCTGAGGGAGAGGGCTGGCTGCAGACTTCCGTCCTGCTGCGCCGAGGTCACCTTGAAGGCGAGACGGAGAGAGAGAGAGAGAGAGAGAGTGAGCGTGGAGGTGATTTTAAATAATAAAAAGTGTACGAGTAATTTCCGTCCTTACGTTGGAGGCGGCCGTGGCCGTGGCAGTGGCGGGGAGCCCCAGGGTGATGTTGGGTAAAGACGGGGAGGTGTAGAGGGACAGCTGGCAAATGGAGCCCCGATCAGCACCGCTGCACAGCCGCTGCACCAGACACGCCTGGGAAGCACATTTAAAACTAAATATGAGAAACAGCAGGAGGTGTGCATACGTGAGGAAAGAGATCAGTTGCACCCTTAACAAAAGGCCTCCACCCTAATACAGCATTTTACCACTACTTGTGCCCCGGTAAGGCAATGTCGTTTGTTTTAGATCTGAAAAAAAGTTCGGTTATACAACATAAAATACCCCACTGGTGAATATAAAAAAGATGGTTGCTTGAAAAGTGTCTAAAAGAGACGACTAAACCTCATGCCGCCCAACATTTCTGCAGGAAGAGGAGAAATACATCATTAACTGCAAATCTCCAAGAGAGGTAGATCCTATGATAATACTCAATATATGAATTCCTCTTAACATAGGGTGCTTGATTTACTTGAGGGTGGGTGTGTGTGTTACCTCCGAGTTGTTGAGTGACAGAGTGATGCCGTTCTCGTTGTGGATGTTGTTGAAGCTGTTATTCGGGGAGCTGGGGCCTGAGCCTGGGGCGCTGCTACACGCAGAGTCTGAAACACATACAAAAAATATATATATATATAAATAAATACAAACGAATCACTTAGGGCTGTCAACAAATATGCTCAGGATTAACAACACTGCATGTGTATTTGTTATCCCCTCCTAAAAGCGTTGTAAACTTTTTGAACCCCCACGGCTGTGTGTCTCCTCACCTGCCATGTCTAGCGAGCGTTTCTTGGCGGTGGTGATGGGGCTGTCCCGGCGGCGCAGCAATGGACTGCTCCTCCGCTCGCTCACCTTCTGCTTCAGCCTGGAGCGCAGCTTCAGGTTCGGCTCGGAGGCTGAGAGGAGAGACAGAGAGAGAGAGAGCCGGCATCATCATTCATTCATTCATTAAAAGTCTGAACGCTCCACTGTCACAGAGAGGGAGGGAAGATTTCACACCCTGCCAGTTTATCATCATGTCATACAGACAGCCTCGAGAGCAATGGGATTACATAATCAGGATGCAATACATTCCTACAGTAACATTTCAAAAAGAAGTATTCAGATTACTTGTACATTTTAAAAAATGTGGAGTACAAGCAGGATTACAATGTTACAAAACATTTGATATAAAAGGAAGACAGGATTTTTGTATTTTGTGTAGGCATTCTTCTTAGATATATATACATATAAACACACATATATTTAAATGTGTTATATATTTTATGTATATATACATATATGTTAGAATATATAATATACAAGATATAATTATATATATATAAAAAAAAAAAAACAAGTATATACAGTATATTGAAAGAAATAAAATTCAAACATAAATAAATAAATATTTAAAAAAAAGATTATTATCATGTTATTTAATAAAAAAATAACTAGTAACTATAAGTGTCAACCAAATGTATTGCAATAAAGAGTACGATATTTCCCGCTAAGATGTAGTGGAGTAGAAGTATTTAGTAAAATGGTAACACTCCAGTTTTTTAAAAGTACCTCGATATAATACTAGTTAACACACCACCTTGAACTGAAGTGTGCCATTTCCACAATTTCTCCTCCTATCGCCTTCTATGATAACTGTGTGGTTTTCTGACTCTGGCCCCCCGCGGAGCCTCTGTCATGTTAAACGGTGCAGCTCTGGACGGATCGATCAGACACTGCATGAGTTACCTGAGCTGCAGTCTTTAAGCTGCACATCGATTCTGTTTCGCTGTTATGAAACCTGTCTGCACGATCCCAATGCCAAATTCTGATCCATTTTCCCAACAACATCGAGGCTCGAAAAGCAATTAGCTCTAATTTGGGAGCATGATTTCCTGAAGGCCTTTTGTCGCTGCTGTCACAGGGCTGTGAATGGAGACAGGAGACGGGAACAGCATGTCACCTTGGCTCCGGACACGTAGGCTAAATCTCTGTTTACTTTGCCCTGCCAATCAGCTGCCTCGGGTAATTTCACTATTCATTATCCAAATTTTAATCATCAAAAGGGGAGCTAAATCCAACTGTGGGACATCACTAACCCTGATTAATGTGCCGCTGGATTTTAACTTGTATTCTGAACGTGCAGATAACTCCTGGTGCAAACTTCCCTGGATTATCATTTAGGGAAACATTCTTCTAATTATTTTCCCATTCAAATAAATGTGCGTCTTCTGTGACATGTTTCCATGCTTCAATGTTCTAAAAAAAAAGTCTTTATTTTTCTAAATAACTTATAAATAAGTTTAATCTGCAAAGTAACTGAATATGTAAAATAAATGTAATGGAGTAAAAGTATAAAGTAGCATCAAAATAAAATAATCAATTATAACATCTAATTTCTTTTTTCCTATGTATGTAACAAGACGGATATAAATGAGTGGCTCCACATACAAATCTCTACAAGTCTTATTTTGAAACGAATTAACTGAAAGTAAGGAAAGTAGGACGAAACATCATCTATTGGTTATAATTGGAGCTCACACATGACCTTAATGTGTCGTGGTATTTTTGAACCTACTTCAAACAGAATGAGAAGCTTTGTTAGCGGCCGGAGGGAAGCATTAGCACACGAGATCACACATGATATCAATGAACAGATGGTGCATTGTCGTCACGTTGAAATGGGCCTCACCACGGAGGTGAGAGGTTGCATATGTGAGTGACATCCTATATTCAGACGGCCGCATGTTTACTGAAGGCAGGCTGTGTGCCGGGTACTGTATGCAGCCTGTCAGAGCTTTTGTCTCCATGTGAAGCATTGCCTGCCCTAGAAAAGACAGGAACATCATGCCATGCTCTGCGAGGCCCCCGAACATTCCCACCCCTTCCTCAGATATCTGGGGGCACTCATGTGTATGTGAGAATATTTATGTTCCTGTAATGCTCACTCCCTCACCATGAAAGCTGACCGTACCAGAGGAGTTAATGATTTTAAAAGGCGGCCAATTATCTGAGGAGTTACCTCTAGTCACGCAACTCTTTCTCCGCTCCACGGTATAAATGATGCAACACGTTAATCAGCATTTCTGTTTATAATTTGATCACACAGATTTCAGCCTAACGGTTCATTTTGGCATGAATCTGAACTGTTCTTGTTGTGCTCTGAATCAGAGTCGGATACATAAAATGGAAAAGAGGATGTGAGATGCACAAAAGAGCGCTGTTGCTTCGTATGTCCGTTGCTTGGTAGCCCAGGGAGCCAGTCGTGTACTTTATGGCCGTTGGGTGAAATAAAGAGCCTCTAACCTCTCCAGGCTGGCATTACCATAAGTAAACCCACAAAGCACGTCATCGCTGTGGGCAAATATCAGGAGGGCACAGGTCCTCTCCTCTCTCTGCAGGAAAACAGCATCACCAGCCTTACAGAAAAATCATGGAACAAACTAACACTCCAGCGACCGTCCTTTCTTACTCTACACATTAAGTTTTCGGTAGTTTATTTGTACAAGATTAAAAAGTCCTGAACAGATGAAGGACAATTAGAGAGTATCACAACTCAAAGCAACACTATAAAACTAATTTAAAAGTCAATTTAAAATCAGATGTAATTGCCCTGCCTGTTGTGTTCTTGAAGCTCAAGGTGGTCAATTGGTTTCTCGGGGAATAAAGCAAGTGATTATAGGTTATATAGCTGGGCATACAAAACAAGAGTGAAATTAACTAAAATTCAAGAAATTGATTCATTCCTAAGGAGGCTTCTGAGTTAACAAACGGCTGTTGAAAATGTGTTTTTTGCAATTTAAAACAAATTAAGAAAAACACCCAATGATTTAGGACCTCCTTTTGGACCAGGAAATGGTTTAATTTGGCTGAAACTGATTAAAAGTACAAAACATATAAGGTTTTAAAAAGCAATAAATATTTAAAAAAGGATTGGACCTCCAATATTTGAGACCTCTTAAGCAGTGAGTAAACACAGTATGGGTCTGATGGGTTTATTGTGTGCATCATCAGCGAAAAGAAATATTGCAGCTGTGAATTACTTGACCCAGAGGTGTAATGCAGATTGAAAACAATAAAGGGCCGAGGATAGCGCCCTGGGGGACCCCAAAAGTAATTGTTGCACAGCTAGAGTAGAAGAAAAAACCCTCGAGTAGGATCTATCAGAGCCAGTTAGTTTTAATATGCAATCATTAAACTAAATTAAAGGCAGCAGAAAGGTCCAACAACACAAAGTAGTACCACGAAAGAGTGGTAATATACTAAATCCCTTCTCTCACTCTATTGAACCATTGAACCTCCTACGCTTTTTCTCCAACACTTTCATGCTGGGAGACCCTGACAGCCTAATGTGGATGTGATTAATGGTGCAGAGAAAGGTGAGTCTGCATGCGCTGTACATTACAGTTGCAAGTGTGTGTGTGTGTGTGTTTGTGTGTGTTATTCCCTCTGAACGTGAGCCTGCATAGGAGCAAATAAGCAGCTCTGCACTGTTAAAAGTTATTATTATCCAGCTTAGCTAATACTCAACGCTGATCAATTTTGAACATTCTGTGGTCTGTTGTTTTTGATAACAGACACTCTGATCAAGAGATTATGTGCAGTCATATCAATCTGCGGGAAAATTCAGAACAATTTAAGGAATTCAACACTAACAGGAACAGCCGAAGACAGGAAGTCATAACTAACGGGAGTGTGTGTAACGTACCGGTCTTTCGCAGTGGGAAGTCGTCCCGGGGGTTGTAGACGCCCAGCACAGGGTGGTTGTAGGTGGAAATACCCGTCTGCGGAGGGGAGCTCTGATCCAGAGAGCTGTGTTGGGTTTTCCTAAAAAACAAAACACATTAGAGTCACTTCAGATGAGATTGATGATACATAACAGCAATCTCTTTGTATCAAGTTTTCAGATAGGAAAGTAAACATTTAATACTTTTCCAGAACAGATATATTGCCTTAGACCAGACTACTTAATGGACAGGAGACCATATAAGTAATCAGAGCAAAGTAACTTCACGGCTGTCAAAGATCCGTATGATTAACGCTCCATCCCTCTGCAGTGCTGCAGACATGTGCTGCCATCTGCTCGCTGACTGCAGAATAAGGTGCTGTTTGTGGGCAAAGTTAAGCCGAGGTTGGCTTCGGACCAGATGCATGTGCCTGACAAGCGGATGTACACACACTCCTCTTCCAAAACTGAGGGGGTAGATGAGTCCAATGAGCGGATAGAGAAAGGCAAATATAGAAAGAGAAGTTTGTATCACTTGTGGGCGTTTCATTGGGTTATACTGTACATGAAGATTGTGTAACGGTTTTCTAGTTCTGTATCTGCATTTTATTGTAATATTTATTTTGCACATCATTCAATCCTTAAATTAAATACATAGTTTAATCCCAGGTCAAATGTACGTTGCATGGTCTTGAACATATTGATTGGAATAGTATGTTAAATGTCTGTTTCCTTGTTTCTTTTCTTAGAAGAGAGACAATATTTGTCCTTTTTGAGCTGCTGCGCTGCAAGAAACATTTCAGTCCTGATCTTGCAATAAAATATTAGTGTATCTGCCATTTGAATACTGCAACGGTAGAAAATAGTAACTCACGAATATAAATAGGTTTGCATAACCGTGTTTCCAGTCAGTGAATGCAAAGCAAAGGGAAGTGTGCACACCTACAAAGAACTCCAGAGGGGCTACAATAAACACCCAAGGCCGAGCGTTCAGCGTAAGAGCCCCTATCATCAGCTGCTAATATCCTACTCTCGTGTGTGTGAGTTCCCGTCTCTGTTTTGTCAGGTGAGGAAGAAGCTCGCTGATAGATTAAGACACAATCCAATACATTATTCAGATGCAGTCGGAGGGATAGCATCCAAACATATAATGATCAGCAGTTAGCTTCCTGTTAGCTTACAGTCAGTACAAGGAGTGAAATCAAGTCCGTGGTTAACACAAGCTAAAGACGTCCGCTGCTGTTAACAGGTGTCTTAAAGAGACGAATGAACGTCATCACGCCTAATGATGACATAAGTGAAGAATTTGTCCTCACCGGTACCAGTACGGAGCGTCGTTGTGCAGGCCTCCCTGGTTGAGGCTCCGCTGGGCGAGGGCCTTCTTCTTGTTCAGGACAAACTCCTGCAGCCTCATCTTTACCTCCGTGCTCGCTACTGCACCTAAGGGAGCACGAAGAGATTAGAATACACTTAAACTGCCAAAAAAAAAAGCATTCAAAATGTTTTAAATCTTACGCTTGATTCCTGTCTCACACACGCACACCCACTGGATGTGTAACCACTCTCCATACAGTGTGTAAACTGCTCTCAAGGACTGGCTCTCAATGAACTGTTGAGGGAGCTGCACCAGCCGGCAGCCGTAATAACTCGGCTCAAACTGCACCAAGGCCACCGGCTAATACAGCTTGTTAACCACGGTAAACACACAGCTTCTCCAAGTGAAATGGAAACACACTCACGCAAACACACGTACTTTTTAACTCCTGCAAGTATATACCCATATATTCTGGTGGTATGAACCAATGAACTCACTCTCCTGCCCCCGCTCCTTGTTCTTCAGCAACAGCAGCTTCTGCTCACGCTGCTGCTTCTCCAGCTCCTGCTCCAGACGGTGGTTCTCCATCTTCCTCTGGTGCTCCAGCAGCTCCTGCTGGTGCTTCAACGCCAGGAGCTCCTGCTGCTGCTGCAGGGACGAACAACAGAGTGATGTCAGTGGAAAAACGTACAGACATTTATTCAAAGTTTTTCATAAGCATCAGGAGACGCTTCTAAATCTGCAAGATGAGATCATAAAGATAACTTCCTGGTGATTTGGTGAATTTACAGTAATTCTTTTTTTGCTGGATTTTCTGTAAAATTTTCGGATATATTTTTTGTTAGATTTTCAGTACATTTACACTTAAGTTCTGATCAATTATTGTCATAAATATTGTTAGTTTGAGTACCTTTTAAAACCCTGGAAGAATAAAACATTATTATTATTAATGTGTTTGAGTACATTTAAAGCACCCCATGAATAAATGGTATTATTTTTATTATTATTACTTTTTTTAAGTATTATTATATATTTTTTTGATTATTAGTATTATGCTTATTACTAAGTCATTTATTTTGAAATCATCACTTTCTCTTCTCCAAAGATCTACTTACATTCTGCGCCTGGTAGGTTGCCATCTGCAATAATTAAACAGATTTTTAAGGCAGTAAAATAAAAACATTTGCAATGCTATAAACCTCAGGCCACACACTTAAGCTTTCAAACAAACTATTAAACGGAAGCTTTAGAAAGACACATAATCCAATCTGCTCACTTCCTCATCACACAGAAAATAAAGAGAAGAGCATCTGTTAAAGGCTTTACATGTAAACAAATCTGCAGTGCTCAGGGTTTCAAACAGAAGGAATAACTCTGGCTGGGGTTTGGCATTTTGTCTGAAACAAATAAGGTCCAAAATAAAATAAATGTGGACCACGAGACCAAGACCTCACAGTGGATAAGAGCGTCAAATCAATTCTACAAATGCCATTGAAAGCTTTTTAATCTTCTTCAAAGCCATTTCAATTGAACATTTCTTTAACTTGAGGCTTCGAATGACTGTTTAACGTCGGCTACACACTGCACTTTTCACACATAATGGTTCATTTCGTCACCTTAAACTATGACGAAATGTTTGTCAATGCCCTTTAAGCGCATTACAAAGACCCAAACATTGACATTAGGAGAAATGAGCTGCAGCTTCAGAAACAATGCAAATAAAAACGTGCAAATGAAGAAACAATTTCAGTAACTTGACGAAACGTGTGCAGCGTATACACAAATGAAACACACACACACACACACACACACACACACACACACACACACACACACACACACACACACACACACACACACACACACACACACACACACACACACACACACACACACACACACACACACACGTGTAAAGTAGTGAAGTACTGTACTTGAGAAGGAGACAGATATGTACTTTTTTTTCTCGCTAGCTCACCTCACCTTCAGCAAATAATGTATTCACACACTCGTGTCAAACATTTGATTTGCCCTCACGTAAACAAACAGAAGGGCATGTCTGAGCGTGTGTTAACTGTGTTCAAAAAAAGTCACAGATTGATTACATGCAGTGAAAGTATAACTGATCAAATATTGCCATTAGGCGTGACCGTGTTCCTTTTGGTAGATATTTCAGATTACAGTCTTAGAAAGGCAACGGAGAGGAATTCAGATCATTTCAGTCAAACTAAAGTAATCCTGCACATTGAAATCTAATCTCCTGGGCCCGTAATCCATTTTTAGACTTTTATTATAAGTCCTGAAAAAAATAAGTAGTTCAGCTGGATATTAAAATTGATATTACAGCAGTCATATTCTACAAAGGAGCAAACAGTGGGGTAATTGTATGACATTTCCCCACAGGAGCTGGGTTGCTACTCTCAGGAGTCCTGAAGTATTAGAGCTGATGGGCGGGCTGATCCACATTCACTTTTAGATTTCCAGCTCACTGCAATACAAGCTTCATCTCTATCGTTATATGGCAGGACATCCCTTTTAGATCTGCGTTGATTTTAACTATATATTTGAATCACATTAAACATTTTAGTAAGTGCCTGAATACATTTTGAAAGTTCGGCAACAGCAGGGCTGGTGCATTAGGATTTAGATTTGTAATGCAAGCGTCCATTTTTCCCACATTCTTCTGGATCTGAACACTTCATATATTCCCTTCAGTTGAGGACAATGAAGCCGGAGTGCCTCCTTATTCTCTGCTGCCTCTTCACTCAGAGCGAAGTGGTTTAAAGCTGACGGAGCTGCTCTTTGTTGGTGAGTTAATGAACAATCCTGTGGCAGACTAAATCAAGAGCTGCTTTGTTAAGGCCACTTTTAAATCTAACAGTTTGGGCTGCAAGTCAAATAAAACCTTATCATTTCGTGCAGCTCTAAGTGTACTTGTTTATACAGTCATTGTTGCTATACCTTTATGTGCTCCTGCAGCTGGACCTCGTGCTGGCGGGACAGCTGCTCGTGCTGCCGCTGGAACTCTGCGATGAGGATCTGCCTCTGGATCTGCTGCTTCTGCTTCAGCGTCAGGAGCTCCTGCTGCAGCTGCTGCTCCCGCAGCGAGGAGCCGGGGCCCGACTGCTGCTGGCCGGGCGGAGAGAGCGACGACACCTGATGCTGCTGGTGGTGGTGGTCCACACGCAGGTCCATGGGGATGGCTGCTGGGGGGAGACGCAGGGGCAGCGCAGAGTTGATGTCCACTGTGGAGAGACACAGATTGAATCAAACACTACATCTATGTTCTTTAACATCTATGCAGGAATGAGTCCTAAAACCTGGGAAATCGTTTTTTTAGCACTTCTTTTTCCCTCAACTTGAAGTCAATGGTTTTTTTAATGTGATTTCGGTTGTTAGTCTCCTTGGTGATGTACTTATTTAATGCAAGAAGAGACATTGTTTAGCTGAATAGGATTAAATGAATGCTCTCCAAATGGTATTCAACATAAAAAGATACCTGCGGCTAAATCTGGCTTGAAGCTTCAAAGGGCTTCAGAAATGAATCAAAGCTTTTCACTAGGCTAATAAGTTCTCTTATTTCTGAAACTCTAGTGAAGAACATTAGTTATATAGCATATATGGAGAAACCATTTAAAGAGGCCCTACTATGCTATTGGGCACCACATACAAATGAACACGCTTACTTGAACACACAGTGACATCAGAGTGATACATTTAATTTAAATTAGCAGATCATGAAACACCCTTATGTGCAGCATGATAGAAGCCTGTAATTTGATTGCTCCTGGACCCGCCATCCCAGACAAATATCTTTTGTTTATACCAAAAGTAATCAATCTGCACCTCTCGTCCCAACGGGGGTGACCTTCTTCTATTCCTAAAAATTGACAATCTTCTTCAACGAATCAATAAAGCGTTACGTATTAAAAGTGTTTTCTGTACACACACACACACACACACACACACCAGCGCTGCAGTTGCACGCGGCGTCACCTGACAAAGATGGCATTGACCCGGCGAGGTGCAGGCCTCGAGCCGTGTCAGCTACCCACAAATCCCTGCACAGGAAGCCCTCCAATCACGCAGCTTCCTCCCCATTAAATCCTGGATAAATAGGAGACGATTGGCTGATTATTTGCCTACATGTTTACGGAGCGCGCAGCCAGAGCCAGAGATGCTTGCCCTGGAAACGTGTTTTAATAAAGAGGCACACATTGACTCAAAAGCATAGGACCTGATTATTTTTAGGGATGTCACACTTGGACAAAATCACACAAATTGAAGTGTGCAAGTGCCCTTAAGGAGGCTTTAATGATCATAAACACACTTTACGCCCGCTATGACTTCTAACAATAAACAGAAACATCTCTCCGTGTTATTGAGCTGATAGAAACTGAAATGTGTTTGGTGCAGCAGGTGAAACACGCCCGTGCAGCTGTTGTCATTAATATGAGAACAGAGCAACAACATGCAACAAGTCCTCAAGGGCCTCCATCATGTGGGGAAGACAACAACAGCAACAACAACAACAACAACAACAACAACAACGACAACAACATGTAATCTGCTAACAACTCATCCAAAGAGAAAATTCATCTTAATGTTTCAACCTGTAGTACATTTCTCCGGAGAGAAGCAGAGAGGGGGCTTGTTAGAAGAGACTCTAATCACTATGCAGAGAAAGTTTGGATCAAAAAACACAAAAACGTCTTCTTCTGAGTCTCATTCAATCCTGCAGTCGTCCTACCTGCACATGCATGAGTCACCCTGCAGTTTGCCTAGTCGATGACTTCAGACTGTTAGACTGGAATCTGGACGCAGCACAGACTCCATATTAAGTCTTAAGGGTTAGCCATTGTCAAAAGTGAACATGCACTGTGTCTAGTGACATCCAGGTGGGGAAAAAAGCCTTTCATTTGATAAGCTTTGTTCTTTCATCTTTTCTAACACTAGTTTAAAAACAAGCCAATCATTGCACGTCAGCTGTGTAAAGACAGACATGGGAGCAGAGATGCTGCGGCTCCAATCCCAGCTAATGCAAATCCATAACTCACACACAAACGCGTTCACACACACTCTCCCCCGTACATAATGTTCCACGGATATTGAGTCCCTGACACCACACACACCCACACACACCCACACACACACACACACAGCCCAGCGCACTTATTGATGGTGACGCACGCAGATGCACAAACACACCTCGTGTGGCATCAATGTCACACCGGCGGCGCTAATTGCTAGCCACACAAAAGAGGGAGACGCAGAAAGAGAGAGGTGGGAATCATTGGTGCTGTTACCCATCAGCGCTCTCCTCCTCCTCCTCCTCCTCTTCCTCAGCAGCTCCTTCTTATCAATGCACTCCCTCCAGTCTTTCACAGAGGATGACAGCGCACGCCCTGACTCCTCTTGCTCTTCACCTCCGTCACTTTTTGCTCCTCGCTCATCCTCCTCTCCTGTTTAACCTGATGGGCGTCTCTCTCCCGTCCCTCTCCCCCTCTCCCTCTCTCCTCCCCTCGTTTGCCCAGTGGTGACATCACAGGGCAGTCTCAGGCATGCAGGCTGTTTATTCTGCAGCCCTCTGCTTTTCCAGGAACCAGCGACACACACACACACACACACACACACACACACACACACACACACACACACACACACACACACACACACACACACACACACACACACACACACACACCACCCTCTGCTGTCAGTACAGAGTAACAGCAGCTAGGTATGTTAAAGGTCCCATGTCATGGCAATTTCCACTGATCATAATTCCATTGTTGAGGTCTACTAGAATAGATTTATATTGTGCACTTTTCCAAACTCACATGGTTTCTCATACAGCATCTCTG